TGGATGTTAGCCTTTTTTAAAAATTGAACTCAGCAATCTTATCCTAACACTTTTCTGTCAAAAGAGCAATAAATAACCCAGCTTCTCGAATGCTCTGTGAACTGGCTGTAACATCTTACCGGCTCCCTCAGGGATTAATAACAATAATTAATTAGATAAGACCTTTCATAAGTGTTGGTTTTATATTTATTAGCAAAGATTGTTTGTTGTTTTTTTTTTTTTTTTAACTGTTGCATCAGCCATTTGTAAGAGTGGAATATAGGGAGGATCAGGAGGAGAGAGCAGACCCAGTGAAACTCTGGCAACCCACATAGGCTTCTTTGCAAAGGAAAATCAGTCTATATTGGTCTAGGTCACAGTCTGTGATTTCTTATTAGGAGACACAACCATGGCAGATCTTAACGTTTCACTGAAATTTAAAATCATTGACATAGTTTAATTTTCAGGCCTCTCACTATGCCCCAAGATAAACTTCACTGCTCAGAGGCCTAAAATTATACCATTTTTTACTTACTTGGCTTAGACTCCTTTGTTAAAATGCAAATGTTTCTAGAAGAGAGGAATGTATAAAGGCTATAAGTCTAGCTTTTGCTGAGAACAAGTTTTAGATAAGAGGAAAGAGCAAACAAATCCAGCCTTCCTGGGATGCCAAGTCTCAGGAGGCTGCAGAAAGGGACTCTGGGTGGGAAGGGCTGAGGACTCACCGCCAGATCGCTGCGGGTGACGAAGCCACTCTCCGTGGCACCGCAGTCCTGGAAGAAGGCCTGCAGTTCTGCAGCTGCCGCAGAAGACCAGGAGTCTGGCTCCGGGGCCACAGGGGTATCCTGGCCATGGGCTGGCTCCCATGTCTGCCGCCGGCGGCTGGAGCCCAGCTTCCGGCCTTTGCGGGGCACTCTCTGTCCGTTCTCCATGCTGCTTTGGCCTGGGACCGAGGAGAGGCGACAGGGTGCTAGACTACTGAACACAGTCACTCCCTGCCCAAAACTGTCTCCTGGCTCCCCCGTCACCCCAGAAGAAAATCCGCTGTGGCATGAAGGCCCGCCTGCTACATGGGCTAGCCTCTCTCCGGCCTCATTGCCCACCCCACCTTGGGAGGGCCTCCAGCACACCCTGTTCAAGGGTTCCCCTTCTGTGCCCTGTGCCTGCAATGCCCCAAGCTGTCCTTGAGCCCTTCTCCTCTCAGCAGTCTGCTCACCTGGCCATTATATGGGGGGGGGGGGGAACCCTGCGAAAAAGTTTCCGTTTTTTGACCTAGGTGTAGTAATTTAGGCTTCTCCGGGACCTCAGTTTGGAACAATCCTTAGCTCGAAAAAGTCCTAGCTTTTCTAGGACTTGCTGCCGCTCCAGCTCATTTCCTTACATCCTGGCAGCATCCAAATGACAGATTCTCACCTGCCTGGTAGACATGGCGCCAGAGCCCATGGTTTGGCGAGTGGGAACTGGACTGGCTGCTAGTCTCCACTTATCCCTCTCCCAGGCGTCCAAGCGGCCAGGACCTGCATAGCCCAGGAGAGCCCCAATCAGCACTTGCGGGAGAGATTGTACTCAACCTACATTTCCCGCCCAGCCTTGCTCTGGGCGTGTGTTGGGCCCTCAGTTGCTTCCCGCCTCCTCACCTGACTCACACTGCCCCCTAAAATGTGGGCTATTCTACTAGGCCAGCTCTTTAAACAAGGTTGATGTTGTAAAAGAAAAAATAAGTCAGGGGGATTGTGCTCTGTTCAAGAGATTGAAGAGAAATGCCTGATGATAAATGATCTTTGGCTGGATTTGTTTTCAGAAAAATAAAAAAGGAGGAATAAGACACATTCTCGGGACAAGTAGGGAAACCTGCATCTCGACTATCCACACGTGTTACGTGTGATGAAGGTGTGGTTAGGGTTCCGAATAAAGGTTAAGCAAACAAATAAAAAAGTGTGAGGGTCCTTCCAGGTTAAAGTGCAGCACTGTGAAGCTATCAGCAACCGATGCAGCAGGAGTTCGATCCCCGCTAGGAGGTGACCCACATGGTGCAGCAGACCTCTCCTGTGTCGCCTGCTGCTCCCCTCGGGAGCGTGCTTTGTCAATCTTCCTCACTCTGTCTCTGGTGAATCCTCTCACCCCACACCTCTCTGGTCTCTACCCCAGTTCTTGTATTTATAAATAAATAAATCTTTAAAAAAGAAAATGAGTGAGTGTGTATAAATGGGGTGAAATGTAGAGAGGGGAATTCCTTCCCCTGATAGCTCCCATTCCCCTATCATCCTCCCTTACCCAGGGAGACAATAACAAGGACAACACAGCCCCCTTGGGTCACATCTGTCTACTGAAACCACATCCATCTCCACTCACCGTGCCCCTAAGAAGGGAGTCCTCTCCCTCATGACCCTGTGACTCCAGCCTGTGGACCCTGTGGCTGGGTCTTGCGGGTTGTACCACAGAAAGACCATAGTGGTGACGATGTGGATGAGGGTGAAATTCCATAAAAGCGGGGATCTGGGGGCCCTTCCTGGTGGCACAATGGGTTAGGACACAGCACTGCAAGCTAACCGCAGCCACTTCAGTGAGAGTTCGATCCCCGGCCCCGGAGGTGGCCACAGCAGACCTCACATGACCCTCCCACTGTTCCCCCAGCAGTGTACTTCGTTGATCTGCTTGTTCTGCTCCCCACTCTGTCTCTGGTGAGTTGTCTCACTGCCCTTGTACCTCTGGCCTGTACCCCAATTCTGTATACAAAAATAAATAAATTTTAAAAAAAAAGCAGGGAACCGGACAGATAGCAGGTAGCCCTAGGAAGGTAAAGGGGAGAGGCTCCTGGACTGCACTGTTCCGACTGATGTGGTGATGGGCATTTGGCCTCCTATAGGCGAGGACGGTCCTCCAGGGACAGCAGAGTCCACTGGCTCTGAGGGCAGCTGCTGATGCCTTTGGTGGGGTGGGCACTGGGGGAGATGAGAAGAAGGTACTGCTTGCCTCCCAAATGTCAGGGACCTGCTGGAACTGAGCTATGCAGGTGCAGCTGACCAGGAACTCCCTGAAAGTGAGTTCCTGCTTTGTCATGGGCGGGGACCCCCTACACTACTCAGGAAGAGACCCCCTCCGTGGGGTGAGCGCTGCTGGGCAGGTCACCAGCACCTGGAGGAACAGCGGCGGGCAGGACACAGTCCCAGCATAGCACAGACCTGACACCCGGCAGGCTTTGCTCAGGTTGGCAGGCTTGGAAGTTCAAGTTTTACCTGCAGTCTGACCAAAGAGATAACATGTACAAGCATGAGATAAGCCTCCCAGTGCTGAGGCAAGGCACTAGGGGAAGAGTCTGCTATCACATGGGTGTGCCAGCCTGGAATCGGCCAGCTCCCACAGTGAAGGAAGTGGGAATCCTGTAATAAAGCTCTTTGACCACACCCAGGGCAATCTTTGTCTCACTTTCTGAGAGTTCTTAATGGAGCTCACCTCCTTCCAGGAGGTCCCTGACATTTTGGAGGAAGGCAGTAACTTCCTCTCACCTCCCCCACCCCCCAACCCCCATGCCACCCCACCCCAGGCCTCAGCAGCCGCCCTCAGCACCAGTGGATTCTCTTGCCCCTAGACGACCATCCTTGCCTGCAGGAGACTGGGGCAGAATACCTGTCGCCATCAGCCAGAGATGGTGTAGACCCTCCTCACAGGCGTACAGTACACCCTAGAAACAGTCTGCGTCCCCTCCACGGCCAGGCAAAAGGACGCCCTTCAGCCAGTCCTCACATGCATAGCTAAGCAGACATGCACATGTGTTCACCCACTCCCCCTCAGTCAGCCATCACCCACCCCCCCACACCCTCTCAGTCAGACTGACACGGCACCCCTCACGGCTGTATGCCATTTGTGCCTTGTAGTCACCGCTCACTCACAACCACAGGCCTGAGGGTTGGTAGCAGAACCCCTATCCTCCGCATGTTCCCCTGAGTAGATAGTGGTCATCTCACACCCTGTACAGTAGGAAACCCCCTCATGACCGGGAGCACATCCTCACCTTCCTCACCCAAGAATCATAGAAAGTTTGAGGCCAATCTTGAGAGTAAATGAATCCCACTCCCAGGCACCTATAGGAATCAGCTCCCCTCTGTCATACTCAGGTAGGGGAGCAGGATCCACAGGCCTTCTGTCAGGAATAGCCAAGTAAGAAGAATGAGGTAGAGGATAGTATGATATCTACAGGTTCCCGGAGTGTCCCCCCATGCTATCCTCTCACCAAAGGGAAGAGGAACTGGCCTGCTCTTCACTTCATCTCAAAGAATAGCGATAGTCACAGAACCCAAATTGTCCCAGTTAGAACTGAGAAATCACCTAGTGCTTTATTCTAGTCTACTTTTCCTCTCTCTTACCTTCACTAGCTTGGTAGAGAGATGTTGAGGCTCTGAGAGGCCAGATGAGGACCAGTAACCAATCCCACTCTCCCACCAAAGTGCCCGCCATTGCCACCGCTAAACTTTGCAGAGAGCTCCAAATTCATGAGAAAGGAGAACTCAGCCCTTTATCCCCTTTTCTTAGGAGTTAGATGGCTCATCTGCCCCTTCCCCCTGCTGATCCCTCCAAAAATAAAAGGCATGGCAACTAGGGGTAGCTCCCACCTCTCAAAGGTTTCCAGTCCTCCACGTAGCTCTGTACCTCCTGGACCTGGTGATGAGCTACAACTGCCTGGAGTAGCTCACAAGCTCTGGAGCTGTTAACAGTCTTCTCTCTTGCCTAATCACTCTTTCCGCTGCCTAGCAAGTCAATCTCCTTTGTTAATCTATGGGACTTCCTGTAGAAGTGATAACTGGGTATTCTTTCACAATCTTGCCTGTTCTCCTTAGACCCCCTTACCCTGGGATCCTGGAACTGGAAAATGCTGGAGCAGGCAGTGAATTCCCTCCAACCAAAGGCTCTGAAGAATGAGGTGGACTGCTCAATATCACCCAGCCCTTAGTGGTAAAGCCAGAGCTTGGACCCAAATGTTTGGTTGGTAAGGTGATGCCATACCCTACCCCAGCCAAAGTGTTGATGGATACAGTCAAGGCCAAAGGTGCGTATGGGAGTTGACTGTCCTGGGGTCACTGCACACTATAATTACACACACCTGACCTTGGGTGCTCACTCTCAGTATCTTGGATTACCAGGGAGATGTACATTCAAATCATCTTTCAGTGAATAATCTAACCTAATACCAAAATATATTGTAGAGCTACAACCACCAGAACAGTATGGTACTGGAGAGTAAATAGGAATAATTAAATCTAGGGAAAAGAATAAAGTATAGATAGGCATTGATGCAACTATATATGGGATAAAATGCTTAATAAAGGTAGCATTTCAAATCAGTGGAGAGAAGGTAGTTTATTCAATATACTATTGAGACAATGAGCCAGGTATCTGCAAAAAAAAAAAAAAAAATTGGTGGCCTCCTTGGTGGCATAGTGGTTAAGTATCAGTTCTAACACTGCAATGACCTGGGTTCTATCCTTGGTCAGGTAGTTAATCCACATGGCACAGCAGATTCCTCCTGTTCCCCTTGCTGGGGGTACATTTCAGTAGATCTGCCTGTTCTGCTCCCCACTCCCTATCTGGTGAATCTTCTCACCTTCCCTGCTCCCTCCCACGCCTTTGACCTACATCTCAGTTCTTCCACACAAAATAAATAAATATCTTACAATAAAGGAATCACTCCAAAAAAAAAAAAAAAAAGCAAAGTTGGAGTGATGAAATAATTCCATATGAATCAAATTTTAAGTATAAAAAAAGTCATAAAAATATATATTGTCTGGAATTTTAAAGTAAAGGGTTGGGAAAGGAGGAAATAGATGTGAAACAGATGAAATAATTCTGGCCCTGGCTCATTAATTGTTGAGGGAACAACTGGCTTATTCAGTGTGTGTTTGAACAAATGACATAAGAAATTATGGGATAATTGTTT